GGGCTTTGTTTTTTTGTAAGATTTTAATAAAGGATGCTCTGAAAGGTGCAGAGTATGCTGCCAAAGAGACCACACATATATAAATGATGGGTCAAACTTCAAGGTTGAATTCATTATGAGAGTCCCATTGGGATCCATCTGTCCTGCAGCTGAAGGCAGGAACCAGATTGAGGAGAGAGAATTAGAGATGGACAGGTCAACAATTGTTGCTGTTGTTGTGGAAAAAAGTTGATGTTGTTGAAAATGGTCAAAATATCTATTAGAGCTAGAAATAGGCACATGCACACATCTGAGTTTTCAATAATATAACTGTGATAACTGCCACTAGGGACATCAGGATGTTTGGAAATAGCTGAGATGGGAAGCTGCATAAAGAGGAAAAAAAGTACAAAATCTACAGTCCAGACTAAATACTAGGCTGGGAGCCACACCACCAGGAAAATGCTAAAGAATCCAGAAGTCATGCAGGTCCATAACCTGGGTTATGGGAAGGACTTTGATAGCTTCAGAGTAATACCCTTCATTTCCTGTTGGAAGCCTCTAAGTCTTCAGGTTAACTGAACAGAGACAGACAGACACACAGAAAATCAACACTGAACATTTGCATTGATCTGCATGCTAACTAAAGGTTACCCTCAGCTAAGTACACAGTTGCAGTTAAGGAGAAATCCAGATGGGAAGATGTGCCTCTATGTCACTATTCAACAACCATGGCTGGGATCCTGGCAAATGTGCTCAGTTCCACTGTATGGACTAAGCTGGTTTAGGATGATTGGTAGATCCAGTGGTACAACATAAAATTGTTAAATGTGGTGCTCTGCCCTGCAAAGCTAATTTTGGAATGGAAAAGAATTGTTTTCTTTAAGAAATGCACTTGGCTTCAGATTTTATTTTATTTTCTGCTTTTGGCTGAACTCTTTTTAAACACTGACTTGCAAGAATTCTTTTCCTCTGGGTCTCCAGGGAGTCTTGTGGATCTATGCTGCAGGACACAGAAACGATCAGCTCTGCCCATTCTCCTCCTCCCTCTTTCTCCTAGACCTCATTTCCACCTTTTTCTCTTTTTTACTGTGAAGAACAGGAGAAGGATCCCCATTACCCTGCTTCACTGCTCTGTAAAAAGAATTTTAAAACTCCTAATACTACTTAATCACAGCTTTCAGTGCCCCTGCTGCCATAAAACATTATAGCAATGGGCTGGCACTTCATCAATTGTAATTTGCTGATATTACAGTCACAGTAGCACTCGCCATAATTGCCTTGTTCTACCACTGACTCATAAGGCTTCTTGATCTCAGTCAATACTTCGTTGTGCTGGGGGCTGCAGTGAGAAATTTTTATCTAGCAGCTCAGCTTTTTGAATGTTGAATTCCTGTCCACCTGAGCAGAATGTGTCCCTCCAAGTGTCTGGCACACCATCGACCTCAAATTTCATTCGCAGACACTTAAATCTATTGAGAAACATTTTCTTCTTAATTTTTCTCGATTTTACACACAGCAGCACAACACTGCAAGTTGTAAATAGAGATAATAACAGCAGTTATTAAGAATGAAGAAGCTCACTTGAAGACAGCAAAATAAAAGAAATGTAGTTAGGACACTGAATTCCTTGCAGGTCCAAAACTTCTCCCAGCAAGCGTATGACTTCAAGCCATAGGGATTATTAATAAGATGTTTATTTCGGGACAGAAGGCACCTTGAGAATCAATTTGATTATGCTGTGTTTTTTGGTAGACAAATTAAAACATAAATTATCAGCCCAAATGACTTCTACTGGAGACAAAGGACAGAAACAAAACAAGAAAAAAAAATAGTGCAAACTCTCCCTAACACAGCATATTGTGTGTGACTCATTCTGTACAAGTGTGCATTGTGAGCTGCAAACATTTATTCTTTATACGATTGTAGCTTCTCTGAGGTTGGGACACAGATGACACTACAGAGGCAGGAAAAAGCCACTTTACAGAGAGGTGTCAGAAACAGCAGGCATGCAAGCACTCTTGCTGGACACTTTTAGGGAATAAAGCATAAAATCCATGCCAAGTTACACTTCTATGGCTATATATGGACAACCACACACAATGCTGAGATACACACTTTCTAAAACATTGCAGGGACCAGGTATATTTTGATGCCTTCAGCTAGTTTTTTGTGCCACTGCTTTGTGACACCACAGCCTGGCTCTAAAAGTTGCCATCCCAGGCACAGAATCCTTTACAGAAGAGGACCACTTGCAAACTCAGTAAGCCCAAGGTGGAAAGAAGATGACGGAGCCTAGGGAGATGCTGCAGGCTTTTACATGGGCCAGTCAACAATCCCAAGTTCTGGGAAAGCAGTGGGGTCCTGGTGAGGAATTTACTCACCAAAACTCCCCAAAGGAGCAGCACTGCAATACACTACTCCTACCCACCCTGCTGCAGATTATGCCTGCAAACACTCTGTAACAGAGCACTTGCAAAAGCGTTTCTTGCAAGCGCCTGTGAGGGTTCAGCACCACATTGCCAGGATGAAATCCCACCAAAGGGGGGCCACAAAGAGGATTATATCCCCTGTTTGCAGCTCTGGCATGCTCAGCTCTAAGATTTTTGAAGTGACCAACTTGTTTACTAAAGCTCTGGCTGCCATAGCAAGGGTAAGAGCTCTTGTCTGAGCCATGGGAGTAGCTGAGGACATCAGACCCTGCCCTTAGTGATGGAATCCAGGCTGGAATTCACTCCATCCGGCTTCAGATGCCACACAAAATCCCACGCACTTTGGCTGATCGGCTCACACAAGTGAGGCTACTGTAGAGTTAAGCTGTCCCTATTCTGCACACTTTGCCAAGATTTTGAAAACCACTTAATGGGCTTGGACAGACTCAAGGGGTGGTTTTAGACTCAAGTACTACTTGTTTAATGGATTTATTTTATAAACACTGGCATTCGGATTTTCAAAACTTCTTTGGGATTTGGCGTGCTGATTTCTCTTAATCTTTAATGTAAAGTAACATCTGAAGCTGAAGACAGCAACATAATTGTGTAACTCCAATAGTTGCATAAGCTCATCTCATATTCAGAACAAGGCCTCCATCCACCAGGATGTGGATTAAATGGGTGGCTAATGTTTCTGTCTGGAGGATCATCTTTTGACTTCAGAAGCCATGGCACAAGTATTATGCCCATGTAACACAACTACGTCATTTGAAAAAAGCCTTACAAGTCTCCAGATGTCAAATTTATACAGATAAAATATGTGTGTGTATATATATACAAATAAATGTGTACGTGCATATGGTTGTATTTATTTTATATACCTGTGTGGTTTTGTATGGATGTACATGCACATACACATTCCTACTTGGGATCTTCTCTCTGTTGTTAGCTGCCTGGCTGTTTGCATTTCTTCAGAAACTTCCAGCATTGCTGTTCTGACTCTGCAAGGCTACCTCTTGCTCCTTCATGGTCACCCAGGGCATGCCAGTGCCTGGAGAACTTCAGTGAGACAGCACTGCACATCTTTCCAATGGGCTGTTCACCCACAATTCACCCAGAGAGCAGTAATTAAGGAGAACAGACACCTAGAGGTGGGACATGGGTCAGGATGCTGCATGGTGGTAGCACTTAGAGTCTGCAGGTGAAACTAGAGCTGGGGAAAGGTGGCTGGCTGCTCAGTGGTCCCCAACTCAGTCTTTCTGCAGCAGGACAGTAACATTTGGGACAAGAAAAAGAAGGGGAAAAGCATGAAATCTGGGAGAAACCCATCTCTCTTTTAATCACAACAAACTGAAAATGTCCTACGCATTCAGCATAGAGGAAAACTAGTCATTAACTTATGCAAGGCAGCTGGTTTTCCAATAATGGCTCCTACACATCCTGGTTTTAATATTATTGTTCTTGTCAACTGTGGGAATGCAATGTATATTAATGATGGTTTATTCCAAATTGGTCATTGTCGGAGTTAATAATTAGGTAGTCAGGCACTAATTATCTCTATTTGGTCTCAAATCATTAACTAAGGAATCTGAAGAAGTAATTTTGGAGGCAGGCATCAGAGCTGCACACACTCCTCTGTGGGCACAAGAGACGCTTCACTCCAGAGAGCAACACCAGCCTACGCCTGGGAGCAGAATCAGGGAAATACTGCCATAGCCCTGGCTGCAGAGTGGCAGCACCTCAAAAAACCACATATGTGTGTGATGTCCATCTGTTCTTCGCACTCTTGGCTCACTCATAAAGGAGGAATGCTCTGCAGAGGCATTTTCTGGCACTTGGATAACAGAGCATCTCAAGTGGGGCCACCATGGGCCACCATTGATCACTGCAGCTCTTCTCTCAGGTGGCACCTGGCTGGTTGGTGAGCAGCAGTGGGAAGAGGTGGCACAACAGTTCTGCTAGGAGGGTGTGAAGTCTTAGCATTTAACCTGAAATAAGGCTCCTGTGGAAATGACCACAGGAAAACGCTAAGGACAAAGGTGGGTCCAGCACACAGAGACCTTAGACACACAGGTGGAGCTGCACAAACTCCTGCTGGGCCAGGGGAGATCTGCAGCACCTCTCCAAAGGTCTGTGCTTTCAAAGCATAGCTGCTGTCAGCACCTACCTCTACTCAGGTGCATCCAGATACCCCGACTGCAATCATCCTCCCCTATTTTCCCT